TCTATCTGTGCTTGTCCGATCCGTTCGTCTCTATCATTAAATTGTATCATGATTGCGCGGGAACAGACATGCGTGGTATTTAGGATGATCATAGTCAATAAATAGGCCGCTGCAAGCGTTTTTCTCGCATCAAGTGCATTTGCATCATTGACCATTTATCTTCTTTTATTTTCCATCAGTTAGTAAGCAAAATAATCACTTGCACAGATGAGTCAGAATAAATAAGCGGCCCTTCTTTCTTTTTTGCAAATTTTCGGATTTGCAAAATCCAAGCTTACGGGAGTTCGTTCGGATCCTTGATTTTGCACCCGTCTGGTGGCACCAAGAATCGGCAAGCACCCCGGCCACACCATGGGGATACCACGGTGGGGGCGGGAGGGGGATTTCTGCAAACGCGTCGTGCAGAAGGGTGGTGGTGGTGTTGCAAGGTTGTATCGATAGGACGGTCGGACAGTCTCGGGGCGTAGTGTGTGGTAGTCGCGAGTGGTATGGCGGTGGCAACAGCACCAGCAGTCTCGGATAGCTTGGCCAGACTTGACTGTGGATGGTTCTCTCTGTGAGCTCCGCAGTGCCGCCGCTTGCGTGTTCTGCTGACACGCTGTGACTTCTTGACACCTCATGACATTCAATGACTCTAATGTAGTCTAATATCTGGAATAACTTGAAATTTAGTTTATTATTTGTGCTTGAAATATTCATGAGCTCACGAGTGCCGGAATTTTTTGTGCCAGAAAAAACAATCGTGCACTAATAGACTGAGAGCAGCCGGCGTTTGAGTGTTGGTGATCAACGAAAAGAAGAGTTGAAATATCTTTCAACTCTAAGACTGAATGTTTTACAAAGCGCGGAGCTCGCAAAAGAAGTTAGAAGTTTCCAGTATTACATACAGATTAGCATGATTTTTTCAATATTTATTGCATGAAATTTGAAGCAAATATTTTTGCTTATCGAAGGAAAATGTTGATATCTTTATATACTATTACCGACACCTAATGCACGTTTGTTGAATAACGCAGTTTATTTCTATCTCATTTTGCATTCGGCTGTCAATTCTGAATAACCTAGAACGATCAATATTTCTTGTTTTTTGATGAAAAAAATCAATTCAAATTTGTCACACAGGAACGATAACGGTTCAAAGTCTACCAAATTTTTAAATGTCGGCCATGATTGTATTTTATTAAAATCGGTACCTGTGTCATTGGAACATTGTATGGAACTTTAGTTAATAGTTTATCGTTATTTTATTCGTTACTATTTGCAAACATTGTTCAGCGTTTACACATCAAGAGCTAGCGCTAATGACTTTAAATATCCTTTTATTGCTGTAGGGAAACTTTGTTAGAATTTTTATTTTACTCATTATTGTGTGCATGCCGCAATTGCAGTAGGTGCTAGTTTATTTATCTTAGTGCATGCATGACACAATAGCTATTTAATAGCTGTTACCTATTCACTTACCCATTAGCATGCACGATTATCGTAATGATGCATGATAAATTTCACATTATTACTGACTAAGTAGCATGTTTTACTATTCCAATGATTCGTGCATCACTCACAGCAATTTTTAACGTTAATTCGTTTCACAGTTCAATGACATTTTTTAATTCATTTGGAAGGGAATATAGTAATTTCACTTTAATGAATATTGTCTATGCAATGCAAAGTTCTCTATACGGTGTTTAAAAAAATGTTGTCCGTTCAAACCGGTGTCATCTGAAGTATTGAAACCTAAATATATTTAATAATGCAAATTTATGTTTTCTGAGTGGAGCTTATCAATTGAACAGAAGTCAAACGAGTTTTTCGTGAATTATTCGAGTTCATTTGAATGAAATGGGTTTATTTGATTCACTGCCTGGAATAATCGGACCTAGAGTGTGCAGTATATCAATGTTTAACGCCCATAAGTTATTTATTTGATTCCAGAGAAAACTTTCCAAATTATTCCCATTGAAATTGTTGGCAAAATTTTCAATTTAAAATGATTAAAACTGATATATTTTTTTAGATCAAAGGTTAATTTGGTCTAAATTTTAGTCAAGTATCCAACAAATTATTCTAAAATAATTATTATGCCTATTGACATTTATATTAGTAGTTAGTATATAATTGTGGATATTCGACTGCATTCGATCAGTCCGACTGCATTCGTTTCCAGTCGCGGTAATTGCATTCATCATTTATCTAATTTCATTGATCGCAGACGACTTTGTTGCATCCCAATTTTTATAAAATTATATTGGTTGTTTATATCGTATAAATATTGATAATTTATTTCAAAATCTTAAAATTAAATTTGTTTATTATATTTTTTTATGGACTGCATGCGCGACTACTAGGGCAAGGTAACATGTTGAGTTATGATGACAGGTGTTTCTATCAGAAAGTTCTATTGGCTGCTTCTTCACATACCGGGCGGTGCTTTCCTACTCTGTCACCCAATGACCGAACTTGCTTGCCTGAACTCATCTTGGGAACTGAATTCCCATTTTTATTCACATCACAGAAAATGGGAGTTGATAATCGATAAACTAACATAAGCCAAAAACTGACATGAAATGGTTGCGAACGGCTCCGTTTTCCATATTTTTCCCACGAAAACCAATTTATTTTTTATATCGTATTAAGTAATTGTTAATCATGTACTTCAAAAAACTATGTTAAAATGCCATTTTAACGCCTAAAATGAAAGACTTTGGCTAATATTGATTTCAAGCTGTTATCGGCACCTGTCAAGCAAATGACCAAGTCATTGCAAAATTCGTCTTGATAACTCCATATTGATCAGCTGTTAGCCCTAAATTATAAGATTGATTTACACAGTGTAAGAAATCAGACAAATTGGATTTAAAACTTAATAATTCTGTTATTAATTGGATTATTTATAATTATTAATTAATGGGCCTATATCTTCAGCGCCGACACTTCTATTCTATTCTATTCTAATTGCGATCATTCATAAATTCTAAAATAAGCATCTCTTTCAAGCAAAAGATTTGTAAACTTTTCTGCATCATACTTGTATTTCACTTTATGACTAACTTGATTAATAACTTTAATAATTATTGACAAGTTTTCTCATTGTCTCATTGATATGTCATTGCGCCGTCATAGCTAATGAATAATTATTGTTTTAAAAGTCTACGGACTTTGAACAGGACATTTAAGTTACTTTTTTGTGAGCTTCTTTGGTGTCATTATTTTCTCGCAACTTTTTTTTCAAGTATATATACAATTTTGCAAAATTTAATACGCCCAACTGATTAATGATTCTCTAATTATTTTTGATGGTTGTCTTCTTAAAACGTAATCGGAATAAGACTAACCCGTTTACCTAATTTTTATTTTATTTAGTCTTCTTAAAACCTAATTGGGATAAGAGTCTACTCATTCATGATTTACTTTAGTTTTCGAAAAGCGTAATCGGGATTAAATCAATCCGTCTGCCCATATATTATTTACATTATACTTCTTAAAACGTAATCGGGATAAGAGTAACTATATATAAGACTACCCATCTATGATGTCGTTCGATCTTCTTAAAACCAGATAGGGATAACGGGATAATTAAAAAAACCTCCCCATATATTCAAATCCCGCTATGAAATGTCTTCAATGTCCAGTCATGAGTGATCTTTAAACAGCAGTGATAACTTTGGCAGCCGACAAATGCACAACAAAAGGCCAATTCATTAACGGTAATAAAGTGTCTAGCACGTGCGCCACAAGCTCTTCACGCTCTCGTTTAGGCTGCCCTGTTTGGCTCGGGGTTCAGTTTTATGCCCATTTTATGCTCTCTCTTGCTCGTAAAACTTGCCGTTTAACTATCGTATTTGCCACACAACATCGTAAACCTTTTGGCTACCTGGAGTGAGCCCCTCAAGTTCCTTCGTTTGTCGCGTGATTATTTTACAGCGAATCTGCGGTGGGTATACCTGATTGAATAGGCCCTGCTCGGTGGGTGTGTGTTTGAAAGATGGTTGTTTAACTTGCTGCTTGGACGGACAGTCACCCTCTCTTTCTTGTGTTTTTCCTGTCTAATTTCTTAATATATGACTTTTATCTTACAAAGCTTCATATGTGAATGGTTGATTGCAGAAAAATGTCATATTAATTATTCTTCATTTTTCTTGAATTTAATTTGCAGCGAATGGTCATGTCATTCACACGGAAATGTAGTGATTAGTTTTATATTTAGATCCAGATATTATTTTTTTTACTAATTCGCACATATAAATATTTTGGTCTGCATGTTTATAGAATTTTCAGGACAATAGAAGTGCATGAATTAGATTATGTCTATCCTTTTTTCTGTTTCGAAATCTTCGATGACTTATCGTCATTGAGTTGCATCAGTTAATTTATCCAGCTAAATAGCGATAGTCAGCTTTGCCGCGTCGGCAAGTACGCGTTGAGCAGAAGCTTATGTCGTAGTGCCACAGTTCGGCAAGGTGTTCTCTTCTATATATGTAAAGTGGCAGTTAGTGGCAATGATGGCAACATTTGTGGGCGTTGAAGAGGCGGAGGGCTTGATGGGACGGGCTTGAGTCTAGACCCTCCCAGACCGCGAGTGCTCGGTCTGTCACTCCACCACCACCTCATGACGTCACGTGTGCCGCCCTAGTTGCTCCCGCGGACTCGAAACAGAGCCACAGTTGCGCTGCGGCAGTGTGACGCAACCATCCCTTATTGGTTATGCTTCCCATATTCCCAGATGTTTACAGCACGCGAATCCTAGGAGTAAATGTGACCCGGCACATGGTGTGATAACACGTCTCGGAGTTACAGTGTGAATACCATGCCATTATCAGTGCAGTGAAGAGTTTAGTGAAATCTCTGTGACGAGCGATCTCGATCTTTCTTAGTATTTGAATAAGTGCAGTGAGTGTGAGTCTTATTAATTATTTTTTTTATTAAATTCAGTGATCAGTGGTGTATCAGTGAGTTGTTTTGTTTTTATATTAGTCACAACAATGAACTCCTACTTTGAACAGGGCGGGTTTTACGGAGGCGGTTCAGGAGGAGATCAAGCTTATCGCTTCCCTCCACTGGGTCTGAGCGTGGGCCACTACGGCCAACCTGCACCACGACAAGATGCATATGACCCCAGTGCATCTTGTAAACTTTACCCGACCCACCAAGATCATATGACTCCAAATCCTTTCAAAGTAGACTGCAGTGCCGCCAAAGACCAGAATGGGTATGGTGCCAAAGATATGTCCGTGGGCTGGGGACAAGCCGCCCGACCTGTATGCACGCCCGATCCCATTTCGGGCCGGGGGTATCCTCCTGACCCCAGCACATCACCTAGAGACCGGGCCCATGTTGGGGGAGGATGGAATACATGCGGTATGACAGCCGTCCAGCATCAGCAACATCACCAGCAGCCACCCCAACAAAATCCCGGTCAAATGGGACAAGGACAAAATGCAACTACATTCTATCCGTGGATGGCATTAGCAGGTAAGATTTAAGTTTTATAAAATTTTGTCCAACGAATTATTTTTAAAATTTTTAAATCACCATATTTGATGTAGAAAAATTTCACAAGTATAGAAATCATCGCAGAAAAAATATTTAGACTTATTTCTATATATGATGAGGCTTAAAAAGAAGTAAACAGTATTTTACCTAAGCCTAACTGAAAACGGTTCAAAATAAATTTATCGGCATGCCAGAGTGCATGCTGACACATTATAGCCAATTGCCTCACGCTACAGTTACCTTCACTCAGGTGGTGTCGATTCATGCGTTCAATCCCCGTAGACTTTTTCTTGATTTGCATGTTCGGTTAGCCCGCAATCAAAGCTCTTCATCATGTAACATATCGCTTCACGATGGCTCGGATTTTCGCGAAATCACGAGTTGCTGATCAGCGTTAGTGGTAGTGTCTGAATTGAAATGAACCTACAGTTCATTACGTGAATTGTGATTGGTTTAATAATGTCATTTAATCGATAACTTCGAATTAAAAAGTATTAATTTAACAGGCGTAATTTTCACTTCTTTTGAAAATGCCTTATGCCAAAATATAATATCGATAATCCAAATATATTTTTCATGAATTGTGGTTCGTTCCACGCCGGAGAATTTTTCTCCTTTCTTTTCCTTTCAGATATTAATTACTTTCATCAAAAGCACATGAAATATCTTTCAAGGGTATTCATACCATTCTGAGAGTTTCTTCTCTTGCTATTTTCCGTTAAAAATTTTTGTTAACATTCCCAACAATTTGGTTCAAATGTAAGGATCATTTTCAGAATGTTATAATAAACTGATTATTTTATGCTCGGCTCTTTGACTGGATTCATCGAATTCTATTTACGATATATATTACTTATTGTTTTCATTTATCCAACGTAGATGGAATTATTCATTATTGAAATATTGATCGGTGAAAATATTTTTTACAAGCTACCTCGCTTAAATCTAAAACTGTTAATTCTCATGTTTCTCTGACTATCATTAGGTATGTTCCTGATTTCTATAAAAAATGCATTACATGATTTACTTTTTTATATAAAAGTAGAAATAAAAATTATTTTTTAAACTGGGTGTGTGATGTAATCACGTATACATTACACTCGTGCAATTATAGACAGCTAGAATTTTTAATTATCACTAAAAAATATCTGTTCATTTCTAACCTGCATTCGAGAAAGTGATTTTAAATTTCCGAATTAATTCAAACAAGATCAATTTCTAATGCGGAAGGTGGTAATTTTAAACACAATCAGAACTTAATACAGGGCGGACATAAATAACGGAATAAGTTTGAATAGTATTGTGTAGCGGTTGATCGACAATGCATCATGAATATATATCATTATTTTATGCAGTTATATTACGTAAGTACTTGAAAGGAAAATGAAACATATAACTGCATTGCATCAATCTCTGGAATCCTTGCTACCGCTCGTCCGTTAGAGAAAAATAAGTTCGAGTAGTATTGTGCATCAGATAATTTACGATGCATCAAGAATATTGATCATTGTATTACGTACGTAATCGTCATGCATCATCATGAATATCAGTCATTGTAATAATTAATCTTTATGCACAAGCATGTAAAAGGAAAATGAAACACTTTGCTGCATTGCATCAATCTCTTAGATCGTGGCTAACGCTCGTCCGTTGGAGCAAAATAACCGGTTTTGGCGTAGGCCACGAAACAGCTGACGACTCCCACGTGGACGTTTGGCGGCTCCATATAGAAACCCGCGCAATTCTACTCGCCAGCTCGACAACAAAATTGTATTTCATGGCAATTTTTTGAACGTCGCAGTCAAAATTAAGTGGAAAATTCAAGTTTCTATACTGTTCAATTTTTTTTTGTAGTTTAACAGGCTTTTGGATATAAGGTCTAGTAATTCAATCTTTTCGAAGCGCACAAATTTACATGGGTAACATGTGCAGCTGAATATGGTAGTTGAATTCAATCAAGTTTCAAATAACCCATTCGCCAATTCTGAGCGTCAATTATTGCGTAATTGAAAATTTTTTATTAGTTTATTATCGACCACTTGAAAAATATCATAATGAAAGAATACATTTTTTTTAGTCACAATGATGATTGAGAGTTCAAACTTATTCAAAGGATGAAATCCGCTTCCAAGAATCCCAGTTAAAATGCGAAATAGCCTATAACCAGTGGCTCTAAAATTTTATTTTTTAACCTCACGTTGCTCTCATTACAACACTTCTCTTTAACTTCACTTCTTGTTGTTTGTTTGTTTGTCTGTCTGCTACAAATCTTATAATCGATATTTAACACACTTCTACCTCTCCCATCGATCAGAAATTTTGCACACTTGCTTAAAGTTGGAGACAATGCATGAATCAATTGACAGAGTATATAATTTCAAAAATTAAAAAAAAAATTAATTAAAAAAATTAATAGATAATTTTGTCTTCTACAAATCTTATAATTGATATTCAGCACATTTCCACCTGCCCAATCGATCTGAAATTTTCCACACGCGTAAAGTCGGTGGCAATGCATGAACCAATTGACAGAATAAATAATTTAAAAAAATTAATTTTTTTTAATCTTCTAACTAAAATTTAAAATATAGTTTTGTAATATTTTATATTAAAATTAGAAATTCGTTGTACATGTGTAACATCAGAGACATTGGATTCGTTAGAAGTGTTGTCTTTTAAAAGTAATTTTCAAACGCATATTATTTTTGGACAACATTTAGATGTTAGTTAGTTCAGAATACGTAAGAAAAGTTAAAAGTACATTTTCGATATGTTCTTCAATTTCTCAGTAGTTGCTGAAATTAATAACTCGGCTAGGTTTGAATATAATTGTTAAATTGCTCTCAAGGTCATGTGGTTATTGCACCTCGCGACTTCTGTTTTTCTTTTGTCTGCTGTGAAGTATCTATTTATATGTACTTTTAAACACACACAAAATATAATGATAATGATTAGAAATTAATTTATGTCCAAAGTTTACTTTTTCAAATTTACCATAATATCTGCTGAAGCCCTCATGGAGCCCACTCTAAAGTCGTGTTGTTATTGCCTCGTGCGACTGTTGCTTTTCTCTTTTTTGATGTGAAGCATTATTTTAGATGTTTATTTTAAAAACACACAAAAAATAATGATTTTGATCAGAAATTAATTCATTTCCAAAGTTAACTTCTGTCCACTGATATATCTGCTGAACCCCTTATGTAGCCCTTAATAAGACCGAGCGGTTATTGCACCGTACGACTGTTTTTTCTCCTATGTAATGTGATCTATCGTTTTATATGTTACTTTTAAACACACACGTGAGCAATGATGATAATGATCCGAAATTAATTTCTTTCCACAGTTTACTTTTTTCGAAGTGATATCTGCTGAACCCCTCATATGGTTAATAACCACCGTGCGATTATTGCACCGTGCGCTGTTAATTTTCTCCTGTGTAATGTGATATATCGTTTTATATGTTACTCTTAAACACACACGTAAGCAATTATGACAAAGATCCAAAATTAATTTCTTTCAAAAGTTTACTTCTTTCGAAGTTTCCGTGATATCTGCTGAACCTCTCATGTGGTTATTGCACCGTGCGCTGTTGTTTTTCTCCTGTGTAATGTGATATATCCTTTTATATGTTACTTTTACACACACACGTAAGCAATTATGATAATGATCCGAAATTAATTTCTTTCAAAAGTTTACTTCTTTCGAAGTTTCCGTGATATCTGCTGAACCTTTCATGTGGTTATTGTACCGTACGACTGTTGTTTTTCTCCTGTGTAATGTGATATATCCTTTTATATGTTACTTTTAAACACACACGTAAACAATAATGATAATGATCCGAAATTAATTTCTTTCAAAATTTTACTTCTTTCGAAGTTTCCGTGATATCTGCTGAACCTCTCATATGGTTATTGCACCGTGCGCTGTTGCTTTTCTCCGGTGTTATGTGATATATCCTTTTATATGTTACTTTTAAACACGCACATAAACAATAATGATAATGATCCGAAATTAATTTCTTTCCACAGTTTACTTTTTTCAAAGTTTCTATTATATCTGCTGAACCCCTCATGTGGTTATTGCACCGTATGACTGTTGTTTTTCTCTTGAGCGCGCGTATTTGTTTTGCTGTTTGAGCCTCGTGACGTTATGAAGTAGAAGCGCTCCCCTCTGCTCAATACATCACGGCTTCCCTCTCATTACTTCATCTGATATTTCTTAGTAAGTTAATAATTTTCCCGACGGCCCATATTTTGGGAAGCACGCAATATGTGATCCGTGTAAACTTTGCTCACATTCTTACAAAATTGACCCTTGATTAGAAATTGTACATCAAATTTTCCGGAAGTGCAGACTTCCTTGCTAATAACATTTTTACCAGGAATTATGAGCGTTGTTATTCATATAACACTAAATAATCATTTAATTTCGCTCTATCCAAAATGGCCCTTTATCTAATAATTTTTAAACTTAAACTCAATCCTCATGATTTGTTAGTAAAATCTTTTGTGGGAATTCTTTCTCATCTAACTAATGAAAGTACGAACTAACCACATCATTCCACTGTATTATCTACTTGCACTCTTTCTACGATTATTTAAAATGTTATGAATATACGCTACTTGCCTTTTGTGCGTTAGGTTCCCATGCTGTGTTATTTTTCAATACATTTATCCTTCCATTGAGTCTAATGGGCAGTTATAGAAAGCACCCGTATGCTCCCAGGCCTGACGCTTCTCTCCCTTCCTGTCTCGCATGAGGCCGGCTCGGTCCAAGCTCTCGCTTGCCTGCACGCAGAGAAATGTGCGAAACTTTGTCCAAATAGCGACGATATTTTAGCCTATGTTTGGGCATTCCTAACCCAGTTAGGTCTGGCAAAAGGGCGCATCGGTGCTACATGTAGAATGTGCATCACTATTTGTTCAATATGACTCGTTCCTTTTTATGAGTGAAAATTGTTGCAAGCCCTTCTACTAGTA